ACAGAGCCGCTGAAAGGTCACAGGACAGTGCGCTTCCTCCACACTGAAAACAATTTAACCCAAGGCCCGCGAGTAAACCAATGTTTTGCGGGTACCCCTATCCGCAACCATTTTTAACCACCCTCCCAGGAGTACAGTAAGGTCCCATTGCAGTGTAGTCATCCCTGCTCTCAGCGGACTTGTTCGCTGACAGCGGTTATATCCGCTCAGAGCAAGTACGACTACACCGCAATGGGACCTAGCACTACTCCTGGGAGGGTGGTTAAAAATGGTTGCGGATAGGGGTACCCGTAAAACACCGGTTTATTCGCCAGCCTTGGGTTAAATTGTTTTCAGTGCACCGCCAGTGTCTGGTGTTATTGGAAAGGGAGAAGACATTGGCATGAGGTAGAGAGGGTGCCAATAATGGAAGCGTATAAAGTCGAGCTTAGGTGTGAAGTGTTCTGTCATGCAGCTTGCCTCAGCAAGAGTCGAGACGCGCATGGTCTGAGACCAGAAGCTCTGTCGGGCTCAGACAGGTTGACCTCGGTGACCCTGCCAGCCGCGTCTGCTGATCCCCTCCATGGCAGAGTAATGACGGCAGTGACGCTTTTATCACCAGATTGTTGTTATTGCCCGGCGCCGCGCACGACCTCTCCAAGCCGAATACTTTGCATACATTTGTGTGTCGACAGTTAACGAGCTCCTGTAGGCGTTTTTGGACCACATTGCACCACATTGGCGGACTTAATCTGAGTGATTTGACTTTATCCCGTGTGCCAATGACCTGGTGATGCAAGCTGGCCCCGAGGACAGGCCACTGGCCGGTAAGGGTCCGTACGGTTGCCCTCGGAGCGCGGAGACTGATGCAGCATAACGGTCACAGCAGCCGATAGACATGTTCGGCACACTGCACAGCACCCCAGCCCCCGCGAACAATTATTTGAAATGATTTTTTATGTGTGCTTAGAATACGCAGCGTGCGTATGTTTCATAATAGTTAGCTCACAATTTTCATTTAGTTCCAATTTACGGTACTTGTTATTTATCAACGGTGTTTGGTGCGCTGCAGACAGCTACACAAAACAGCTTTTGTGCATGAAAATGAAATCAGAATATTGGTGTTTTAAGTACTTTTTTAATCGTGCATTGTAAAAAATGTCTTTGCGTTACTATACTGTCATAGATAAGTTACATTTTCAATTTGAAGATCTAAGCGATTCGGGTTAGAATTAAGAATATTGCAAACAAATATGTGCTAGTTTGCATATGATGTGCTCAATAATCATATTAAGAAGCATAGTTCATTGTTGGCTATTTAACCCTCGCACTTATGGGGGAGGGGAAGGGGGTTCGAGCGGACCTCCCTGGGTTTTTCGCGAGTAGCTCGCATAAAAAGTGGCCGATCGCAACAAAACTTGCAATACCCTGGAGTTAATCATTTTTACATATATCCTAAAACTTTCATGACCCTGATCCAAATGACGTTTGACCTGTGACCTATTTCTGGAGATCATGTTTGGCCGGAATTGCGATTCGGCGTATGTCGGCTCACCATATCCGCGCGTTTGCAGTCTTTTTGTAGTTTTAAACGTTCAAATATGTGAAATGATGCTGTTCCCATGCAATATGGTGGGTGTCAAGGACACGTGAATGTCAGATCAGGTTATTTACCTTTGAAGACCTCGGCTCATTTTTTCGAGTTATGCATGTTTCTAGGGTAGTTTTGGAGCTTATTTCGAATTTAGCAGCCATTGGAGCATTTACGAAGTAGTTTTGGTGCCTTCGTAACATGTTACGAAGCTGTCAGTGGTGGTTGACACCTACTATGGATAGCCGGACCCCTACTGGGTGACCTGACCTGACCTGACCCGACCTGGCCTAAATGCATGAAGACATCATCTGTGCTCAAAACTGACGTGGAATTTGTGATCAGCACCCCGAAAAAAAAAAATAACAGCCACACATTACGGAGTTCTGACAAGTCCCGATTTTCCCGACTTTTGTGTCATTGACCTGACCTGGAAGGTCAACCAATGACCTAAGTCTTTGAATTTGGGTATCATCGGCTTCCTCTCGTCACGGGCAACACGGTCGTTTTTTTTCGCGAAGCTCTAAGCTCCAACAGGGGCCGAGCGGCAAGGGGTGTCTAACCTACCTATACGTCCGCGGCTGGCAAAACACTAACACAGGCGAGGGTTAACCCTCGCCCGCGAGGATACTGAAATTTCGTCGCGTTCGGCCGCTTTTACGCGAGCTATTCGCGAAAAACCGAGAGGGGGGGGGTCCGTTCGACCCCCTTCACGGGCGAGGGTTAAAGCGCTATAACTATGATTGGTAGGAGCAAGCCTTTGGTAGATAGCATATGGTAGGTATATTATGCAATGAATTTCCGTACCCAACATAGTGCAAACTGATTCTGTTCAAATGTTTCGAAAGAGAGAACCCAAACAGATCATATAACAATATTTTTGATAATAGCCGTTTTCACGACGGCCATCTGGTACACATTTGGTGCACATCTGGTACAGATTAGGCGCAGATCTGGTCAAATCAGGTGCAGTGTGTCTCCTAGCAGCTATCAGCTAGGGTGGCGGCACTATGTAATTGCTTATATGCCTGCTTTGTCATGAGAGCATCATCGATTAAAACACTGAAATAAATTCATAAGTTAAGATAATTGCTGTAAAAGAAATTAGTTGCAGATTTGGTCAAATCAGGTGCATTCGCCGGATAGCCCGTCGTGAAAACGGCTACTATGCTAAGGTTTCATCCACGAGCAACTATTTTTAGATACAATTTAATCGTTCCTTATAGCATCATAACGACAATGTCATATAGTGAGCACACAATAAAGATACATACGGTGATAGTCAAAGATACACATGGAAAGCATATACATAGACCTCAGAACAGCTCATCCATGTACCTGTCTCACTGATTTCCCTTATTTGCCTGCCGTCCACCGCCCCCGCATCCCACGCTGCGCAGGTCTGCGAGGGGCCGAAGAGATTGGGTGAAGAGATTATAGGGCGGACTGGAGACTATTATAGTCACCACGTTGATCCGCATCCCAAGACCAGGCATATACGAGTATGTATATAAATAAAATCCCATCGCTTTAAGATCATCATGACGACGGTGATGGTATTAGTGAGTAAGCAGCTTAGTGAAAGATACATACGGAAAGCATATAGACCTCTGAACAGATCACCCATATGACTGTCTCACTGATTTGCCTTATTTGCCTGTCGTCCACCGCCCCCGCACCCGACGCTGCGCAGGTCTGCGAGGGGGCTGTACCACGGCGGGGCGCAGGACGGGGTGACCGTGCGCCGCCCCCGCCTGCCGTCTGTTGACATTGGCCAGATCAGAGCCCGCCGCCGACACGAGCCATTTGCGAGTCCTCCGACTGGCCCCTCGGCCAGCCGCCGGCTGCCCAGGGGCGTAGCATCCGGCCAGAAGGGCTGTGCAGTCGGGCCGCCGACCATTCGGTCACGGGGCGGGGGACACGGCCGGCGCGCACTGTGGACAAATGACCCGGCCGCGGCCGGAGGTGCCGCTCGCAGGCCCCCGCTGCCGCGGAACAGACCGGGCACGCGCGCACACCGCACGGAGGGCTGCACGCCGAACGGGTGGTGTGTCGGCGCACCGAGCGCGCCTGTTCCGGGGTTTGTTTTGCCTGTCCGGCGGGATGTGGCCGAGTGATGAACGGTGATGAGGTGGTGTGCTCTGGTGCAGAACTGGTGGGATGGCCCGACTACTGCACTGCGCTGCAGACGACTGGTCCAGAGACAGAGCGTCTGCTCCGACTGCTCCGGCCAGTCCAGTGTCCAATGTCCGGTGTTCTATCTCCAGGGTCCGGTCCGAGACTGTGTTCTCCTCTCCTGACTCGCACTACTTTGGCCATTTTATACCCAATTTGTTTTGATATGCTAGCTGTCTCCTGAAGATAAGTGCATCAAAGGGAAATTCTTAAAATCAATTTTGCTGTAAAATTCTTATTATGGTGCTGCTGTTGGGATAGCTGACCTTCGATTCAGCCCTGAGATATTTTACCACTTACCACATTTTCAGCCAGGTTGGCATATGTTATAAGTGAACCTCTGCACGTTCGAAAATTGTCGCGAATTTGCAACGCTCTTGCAGTTGCAGGGAGATAAAGCATTCAGGGAACATTAGGTTCCCGATTCCTTACAACCTACAATCTGCGTAGGTAGATCGGATTTCCCATCACTTTGGTCACCTGAGGTCAAGCTGGTCACGTGACCTCACCATTCAAAAGGCAATGGGCAAATGTGTTAACTACTTATTTAGTACAGAAAATGTTATAAATGAAATAAGCTGAAAGACATGGATGAAATCTTAACCTCATACCGTCCTTGTGCGACACAATATCTGGTTTTCGCACGAGACCTATGGTGACGTAATAGATGACGTCGCTAAGGTCAGCTGCGGTCACCAGAATAGCTCGTCATTGGTTCATCAATAGGAAGCGAGTTCCTCGCCTCCGATGAAATTGAGCCAGCGAGTCAAGAAAGACACCAATGAACTCGAATTGGACTGCCAAATCGAATGGTGTGCAGAAAAATCTTCCCCAGCTAACTGTCTTTGTCTTTGATTAACCTTTCGCAAACAATAAAGTATAGCTCTGTATGCGACTGAGAGCGAAAGACTGATGAACGCTGCTAAATTCGTTGCACTGCTACTATGTTGAGCAACATTATTGGCTTATAATTGGATTTGGGGTCTTTGACCTGACCTCAGAGACCACCCGGCTAACCGAGACATTCAACTTGGACACAAATCTCTGCGTCTGGTAACGGCGCTCATGCTCGATTTGTTCGCGATGCGCTTGCTCAATTACAGAGGCGAAACGAAGAGGGTGGCGTGGGAGGTAGTACACCTAACCCCTCAGCTGTTGCTCGTGTAGAAAGTCGATAGGTACAGTGAAGTTTTTCTGTGCATCCTGGCAATATTTGAACATCACACTTCGGCTCGGCTATGGAATCACAATACAATCAGGCTGTGTGGTTGTTTATTACAGATACGCTGCACACTAGAGCCCACACTTCGAACATGAGTAAAACATGATACATGACCATAACAATGCTGAGTGTGCAGAACACATGGCAATGATTGCACGACGTAACAACACTTATTAACACGTTTGACTAATGAGGAGTATTGCTCATAACGCCGTTACTATTCACAAGGCTTCATGATCTCATCAATGGTAAACCCGGTAGTCTTTCTTACAGACAGATTTAAAGCTTCACTGTCGTCAGATTGGCTGAGCCTCAGCTGACCTAGCCTTGCAGCAGGATCACGTGACATTACCGCCTCTTTAGATCTCTCCTCTGACAACAAACCGTGACGAAGAAACAGAGAACCTTCACAGTTTTCAAATGCACTCGTGCGTGGAATTATCTCACACGAGCCATTCTTCAGTAAGTCACCTGATTCTCGTCGAATCTCTGAAGAAGCGCGCTGTGGCGGCGGCGGTGATTCTGCGGCAGAAGACTGAGGTCTTGAGACCTCTCTCAGCCACGGAGGTCGTACTGAGGACGAGTCACCACCTGCCCGTGGCCCCAGCTGAAGCTCCGCGAGCCGCAGGGTCGTCGGCGAGGGGCTGCGCGGAGCGTGCTGAGCGCGGTGGGTGGCCAGGGTGCGCGCCTGACAGAAGCCTTTGCCGCATACCTCACACTGGAATGGCTTCTTCTTGCTGTGGGTGTACCTAGAAGAGGGATGGAAACAGACCTGTTATTTGAGTGGTGCACTATCCGCTTCCGTCATATTTTCCTTCATTGATGCGGATGCCTTTTATTTAAAATTAAAAGAAAACAAAACATGCTAAGCGTCTTTTTGCCTCCGTAGTTGGATTTCCCTAACATATCGAATGGTAAGAAGACCAGTTTCTAAATAGTAAATAGCCACCGCATAGCATACCTACCTATTTCTAACTATTTCCTAGCCTGCCTCAATTATGACCTTATTTTTACTTTTCTACCTCATCATTACACCTGTCAAGTATCACTCCAAGAAACTATTTTGTATTTTGGAGATTCCATGCGCTTCGAAAAGTTCTTGCCGCCCTGAAAGTTTTACTAGAACCCACCTGTGGTCTCTGAGGTGGTCCTGCCGGCGGAACGCCTTGCCGCAGACGTCACACGGGAACGGCCGCTCGTCCGTGTGCGTCCGCTCGTGGATCAGCAGGTTGTAGCTCTTGCTGAACTCGCGCTGGCAGTACTGGCAGATGTAGCGCTTGCGGGAGCGCGCCGGCCGGCCGGTGCGCCAGGGCTGCGGCAGCGCCGGCTGCAGCAGCTGCAGCGGCAGCTGGCAGTACGGCCAGCCGTGCAGCAGGCCGCGCTGCAGCTGTGCAGCCTGCAGCAGCGGGCTCAGCAGCTGCAGCCGGCTGACGGCCATCCCGGCGGCTGCGGCGCTGGCTGCAGCAGCTGCGGTGGCGGTCAGCTGGGCATGTTCCGAGCTCGCCGCCGGGAGCCGAGGGGACCCCGTGCCCTCTCCGCTCCCCGTCACCCACGTGCCGGCTATCTCCGGGTCCCCGGCCCGTCCGCCGTCACCGCGCGCCGCCGCCAGCTCCGGGCTCAGCCGCGACGCCGCCGATGACGCCGATGACGTCGGTGTGGCCGGCGGCGTCAGCAGGTGCGATGTCGTCTCGGCGCCGGGCGGCGTCGGCTGCCACATCTCTGCGGGCCGGGTGGTGCGTCTGTGCGCGAGACGGAGCGGCGGCGGCTGCCGTCCAGCCGGGCCGCCCCGCCCCCCCACAGCTGATTGGCCGCCAGGCCGGCGGGCCGTGCTCTGTTTTGGTTTGGTAGAGCGCCATGCCCGCCGCCCGGCCGCCGCCGCACACTGGTCGGAAACGCTCCAGCGAGAGGCCAGCGGCCTTTCTGCAAAAGTTTTTTGCTTGTTATTCCACAAATAGTGAAGCAAACTTCATGAAACTTTGCATACTTTCTCTGTCATATGTAAGCTATCATTTGGATGTCAAGCACTAAATATATGACGTGAATCTGTTAAGTTATGACGTCATAACTGAGTATAATACTGGATCTAGCACCACTTTAAGTCAACAAGGGAAATTGGGAGCTGCTATTCGGGCACCGGGAATGGTTTCATGCACTCCTTGCAAGGTCCAGTGCTTGACTTTAGCATTGTTGACTTTGCGTGACGTCATTTATGACGTCACTAAGGCCATGTAAGTTTTTCGTCAATAACTCCTGATCAGATGGAGCTAGGGAGTCGGGAAAGCCACCATTGGACTCAGGAAGACCTGCCGAATCGAATGATATGCGATATGACCTCCTTCAACCATTTTCGTGACCTGAGGGGCTCCGACCTGACCTTGACCCGAGGTTAATAACACCTTAACCTTCGCCGGCACAGGAGGGTTGATGCAACCCCCCTAAGGTTTTTCGCGAATAACTCGCGTAAAAAGCGGCCGATCGCGACGAAACTTTCAGTACCCTCGCATTGATCAATTTTACACCCACCCTGAAAATGTCATGACCCTGACCCCAATGGCCTTTGACCTGTGACCTCTTTTCCGTGACCATGTTTGGCCGAAATCGCGATTCAGCGTATGTCGGATCGCATTAGCCGCGCGTTTGCAAGCTTTTTGTGGTTTCAAACGTTCAAACATGTGATTTGATGTTGCTCCCATACATTAGGATGGGTGTCAAGGTCACCTGAAGGTCAGGTCAGGTCATTGACCTTTGGTGACCTCGGGTGACCTCGATTCACTTTTTCGAGTTTCACATGTTTCTAGGCTAGTTTTTGGAGCTGAATTCTAATTTAGCAACCATTTGAACATTTACGAAGTAGTTTTGGCGCTTTCGTAACATGTTACGAAGCTGTCTGCAGAGGCGGTTGACACGTATTACGAATACCCGTCACAACCCCTACCGGTTGACCTGACCTGACCTGACCCGACCTGGTCTAAATGCTTAAAGACATCATCTCTGATCAAAACTAATACGATAATCGTGATCAGCACCCCGGAAAACCACATAGCAGCCACAATTTACGACTTTCTAACAGGTCCCGATTTCCCCGGTTTTCGGGTCATTGACCTGACCTGGAAGGTCACCCGATGACCTAGGACCTTAAAATTGGGTGTCATCGGCTTCCTCTCGTGACGGGCAGCACGCTCATTTTTTTCCGCGAGGCTCTAGCTCGATTAGGGGACAAACGCGAGGGGGGTCGTACCAACCCCCCCCCCCTTGTGCCGTCGAAGGACGCAAAATGGCCTGTGCCGGCGAGGGTTAAGTTGACTTCACCCGAACACCAAGTATAGCATTCAACGCGCCTGAGCTAGACAAACACGATTATGCCCAAATCGCGGCAGTGCGACCATTTTTGGCAAAGTAATTAGCCTAAAACCGAGCCCGTGCCTTGTGGCACTTACCTGACCTAAGAGGTCACTGGCTGACCTAAGACCTTAAAATCGGGTACTACCTAATTTTTGCGTCTTATAACGGCACACAAGCTTGTTTTTTTTTCCGCGAGGCTCTAGCTCAATTAGAGGCGAAACGGCGAGGGAGTTGTACCAACCCTCCCCGGTCAATGTAGAAAACCAATCGGTCCGGCCAGGGCTAAATACCGGAATTGTGATCTAATGTAAAAAGACGGCCCAAGGTAACCCGACGTCAGTGACAGGTGTCCTATATTTGCAGCGTCTTATGTTCACGAAGGTTTCAATTTCCACTTTCTTCAGCCGAGTGATGGCTGTCAATAGCAAGGCTCTCTAAATGCAAGCCGTAATCGCCACGCAATATGTGGAAGGCTTTTGATGTCAATGCATACATAAATGCATACATAAAACGCGCTTTTCACAAAATTCATAAACTCAAGCGCATCTGTTTTTAATGACCAGTCAACTACGCATGGATGCGTGCAGGCCACACAGGTCAGCGTAAGCCGGGCGTGGCGGCCGAGCCGAAACTGGGGCGGGGCGGGCGGTAGTTGGGTAGGAAGAGCGGCTCCTGCAAATTTTGCGCAAATATGCGCAGTTAGCTTTTATGTTGCCCTGGTGTAAATTTAAATCCTACTTCATCTCACAAAAAAATCAGAGTGGAACTAGATGGGACTACCTGTTGTTTCCTTACCTAAACTTTGCAGTTATATTCCAGAATCACTGTAGGAGAGCCTTCATAAAAAAGCTATAGTACATCTTAGTTAGGGAAAAAGTATACCAAAAATTTTGCACTGACCAGTCGGCAACTTCATAACGAACATTTTGATGCATAATATGTGGGATTTCAATTTGGTGTCTATCAGCAATAAGACTCTGAATATCCGGCTCAAGAAACCTCTTGCTCCGCGTCAGTTTCCGAGTTCTGGGATACCCCATCTTCGGGGGCTGATTACAGCTATTTTTGGTCACCCGGATTAGTTTTTTTGGCCTAAGTATAATAATTTGATCAATTTCAAATCGATCTATATAAAAAATAATCCGAAACTCCGGAATCGCCCTTGGCCTCTCGTGAGGGCGTTTCCGACCAGTGTGCGCCGGACCGGTGAAAGCACACCGACTGATGATGGCTGCCCCCGAGCTGCCGGCAGCGGTACGGCACCGGTCATTGGCTCGCCGCCGGCAGTCAGAGTCAGGGAAGAGTGAGGATAAAGCTTTTTAACAGCCGGTGATTGCGCGGCACAGCTGCGCAATGACAGGATTACATGGCTAAGCGACATGTCTTCACAGAGACAAAGCCCAGCATGTCAAACCATTGAATGAAAATACGCTGATGACGTTTGCCGAGTTTCACCTTGGAGCTTGTGCAGCTAAAGTCTAAATGTGCTGACTTTTCATCATAATGGGGAAATCCGATTGACGTGATTCCCGAATACATCTCAAACACCGAAAGCAATCACTCGAAGGAGGGGTTAGTTCAACATTGTTGGGCGTGTTTGTTCGTGATAATTTTCGGTTAACTTTTCTTGACATTTATGATGACGTCAAACAATGGGGATTTTATGATGTAGCATGACCTATCTGTATCAAATATTGAACTGTTTACATTTAAAAGTCACCTCTAGATGCCCTAGCTGACGCCATGACCGACAGAGTGGGTTGATCCAATGACGCATGGACAGCGCTCGCCTTATCGGTGGTAGGCGTCAGTCGCTACCGACTGACGTCCGCTCCGAGACCAACTACCACTCCCAGACCTACTACACAGCTCGGCGTGGCCGATAACGCACACAGGCCTCCGCGTGCGTGCTCCTGTCGAGTGGCCTCTGACGCCATCAGGGGAGGGCCGTGACGTGTCGGTGAAATCTGACATCGAGCGGTGTTCCTGGAGCTCCCACCCGCCGCACTGTTTGTCGGTATCTACAGACGGCTCGACTCACCAAGCCCTCTCCAAAACAGACGGCCCAGCGCGGGCCTCTTCTTGGTACTGCTTGTGGTGCTGGTGGGCCGTCGGCGGGGGCGGGTGCTCTAAATGCGGCGTGGGCTTCAGCTGCGACGTATGTAAAGCTAGCCAAGACATGACCGAGCGTTCTGTTCAGTGGCCGGCCTCACTGAGTGCCACTCTCGGCCCCGTTTGATGTGAAGCGATAGCGGATAATTCTGAAATGGCTTTTGTTGGCAGTGCGGGATAAGACACCCACCACAGACAGAGTATGTTTAGGCGACGTACTCGAACGCTGGTGAAACATGCCTGCGCCATCGGTGGCTTATTGTACTTACCACGATGGACGGAATAGGTGTGTCTGAAACACGATAAGTCAAGATGACGGCAGTACGTCACGAAGCAAACACGCATCTGAGAGCCATCCAGCTATTTTTGTCTGGTTTGCTACCACATAAGCTCGATGGCGACGAACGTTTGACATTGTGCTCTGGCACTGTGGCGCATCGGGCTCAAATCAATGAGTCAATGCCAGTAAAAATATTGAATTGTGTTGACGTGAGGTTTCTTAGCGAAACTCTGTAAATCTCTCTCTCTCCCCCCTTTCTCTCTCTCTCTCCCTCTCCCTCTCTCTCTCTCTCTCTCTCTCTCTCTCTCTCTCTCTCTCTCTCTCTCTCTCTCTCTCTCTCTCTCTCTCTCTCTCTCTGAAATTCTGAAAATCACTCTCGCCCGCGCCGCGCGTCAGGTGGCTGGGTAGCCTGTCTACGTGAGGGAGCTGTCTACATATGTGAGTGGCCTGTCCACGTGAGGGAGCTGTCTACATATGTGACTAGCCCGTCCACGTGAGGGAGCTGTCTACATATGTGACTAGCCCGTCCACGTGAGGGAGCTGTCTACATATGCGAGTAGCCTGTCCACGTGAGGGAGCTGTCTACTTGTATGTGAGTAGCCTGTCCACCTGAGGGAGCTGTCTACATGTATGTGAGTGGCCTGTCCACGTGAGGGAGCTGTCTACATATGTGTGTGGCCTGTCCACGTGAGGGAGCTGTCTACATATGTGAGTGGCCTGTCCACGTGAGGGAGCTGTCTACATATGTGAGTGGCCTGTCCACGTGAGGGAGCTGTCTACATATGTGAGTGGCCTGTCTACGTGAGGGAGCTGTATACATATGTGAGTGGCCTGTCCACGTGAAGGAGCTGTCTACATAAATGTGAGTAGCCTGTCCACGTGAGGGAGCTGTCTACATATGCGAGTAGCCTGTCCACGTGAGGGAGCTGTCTACATATGCGAGTAGCCTGTCCACGTGAGGGAACTGTCTACATATGCGAGTAGCCTGTCCACGTGGGCTCAGCCCCGGCTGGTCACTATGCTGCCCGGCCAGACCAATGTTCCCCGTAATTCCTATCATCTTTGCGGTTCTGAACTTGTTTC